TATTTTAAACAATTTAAGGCCTATGATCATCAAACTTTGTCAGTTGATGTATCTTGGGTCCTTGAAGTACGTCAACTAAAAAATAGGTCACCTTGACCTACTTTTTGAATTTTATGGCTAATCTTTATCAAAACAATCAAGGCCATTAATTCCAATACCAAAAGGTTTAGAATCATTAAAACTTGTAAGATGATGCATCTTGGGGCCATAAAACGTATTTATTAAAAAGTAGGTCACAGTGACCTACTTTTGAACTTTGCAGGCATTCGATTTCAAAGCATTTTAGAGGCATAATTTGGACATTTTAAGGCCTATGATCATAAAACTTTGTAAGTTGATGCATCTTGGGTCCTCAAAAAACATCAACTGAAAAGTAGGTCACCGTGACCTACTTTTCAATTTATATGACTATAATTAAATATTTCAGGTACTAATTGACTTAGAATCATCAAACTTTGTCAGTTGATGCATCTTGGGTGTTCGGAGTAGGTCGACTGAAAAGTAGGTCACCGTGAACTACTTTTGAAAATTTATGGCTTTAATTAAATATTTCAGGTACTTATTTGCTTAGAATCATCAAACTTTGTCATTTGATGCATCTTGGGTCCTCTGAGTATGACAACTGAAAGTAGGTCACAGTGACCTACTTTTGAAAATTTATGGCTTTAATTAAATATTTCAGGTACTTATTGGCTTAGAATCATCAAACTTTGTCAGTTAATGCATCTTGGGTCCTTGGAGTACGACAACTGAAAAGTAGGTCACGGTGACCTACTTTTGAAATTTTATGGCTGTATTTAGTATTTTTCAGGTACTATTTGGCTTAGAATCATCAAAATTTGTCAGTTGATGCATCTTGGGTCCTCGGAGTAGGTTGACGGAAAAGTAGGTCACCGTGACCTACTTTTGAAAATTTATGACTTCAATCAAATATTTTGGGTACTAATTGGCTTAGAATCATCAAACTTTGTCAGTCAGTGTATCTTGGGTCTTCAGAGTACAACAACTGAAAAGTAGGTCACTGTGACCTTCTTATAAAATTTTATGGTTATAATTAAAAAAAAAACATTTTAGGTATTAATTGGCTTAGAATCATTAAACTTAGTTAATGGGTCCTCAGAGAATGACAAGTGATAAGCAGGTCACCATGACCAACTCTCAGGTACTAATTGGCTTAGAATCATCTTGGGTTCTCAGAATGTGAACTGGAATTTCAAGGGTTTATCTAAATATAAAGGATACTTAGAGGCTTCAAATAGAAGTGATAGGTTGTACAGTTTATCAGAAGAGCGATTCAAGGTCCTTGGGCCTCTTGTTAGACAACTGTTGCTATAAAAAGAAAAGAGAGTCCATCTTCAATATTGTGTCAATTATTAATTGCTCAAATGTATTTGTTCATGACATATTGTAGACAGCAGTATATTTTGTAAATACTTTTTCAATGAAGCTTACAACTGGTGGAAAATTGTCATTTTCCTCATATTCTGAGATTTTCTATTTATGGGTGTTTGATACTGTAAATAGAAAAGGGAACCCCCTTCATATAGTGTGTATTTCAGTAAATGGTTCCTAATACTTGTCAGTCATACTATGTTTATAACAGTTAGTCTGCATTTTTTCCATCCAGCATTGCCTGAAAAAGTGAAAGAATCTACATTTTCTTGATAATTCTAGTAATCTATTTTTAGACCATTGTTGCTATAAAAAGATACAAGAGTTGATCCTCAATATTGTATCAATTATTGTACAAACACTTGTTCTTTTTAAAGGCATATTGTAGAAAGCTTTATATTTTTAACACTTTTACTTTTTCTATAAAGCTTCCAATTAGCATAAAACTGCCATTTTTCTAATATTCAGAGATATATCTATATTTAGGTGCTTGATACTATTAATAGAAATGGGAATACCCCTCAACCATTGTCCACTCCAGCTAGGGGTGTCCAGCTGCTGTCATTAATATTTTAGATTTTACAATATACTTCCTAATTATCCAGCAATGACATCTAAAATTTTGCCAGAATTTAATTTTTTACATTTTTCTAAAATCTATCTATTTATAGATACATGTTACTAAAAATAGGATGAAAACCCACCGATATTTTTTCATGAGATGACACTTCGAATACTCAAGTATAAAAACACACATATGTTTTGGAAATTTTCCACGGACAATTTTTCTTATATAGCCTTAAAGATCTTAAAAAATACTAATTTTCCCATTTTTCAAATTTTCAGAAACCTTGTCAGTTTGCATGACCTTTCTCTTAGAGTGGGAATATTTTTAGAATAAATGATTATTTGCCCTGTGTACCTTAAAAGTTCATGTTATCATATGATCCAATGATTTTTGTTAGAGTGTATTAGATACTGACAAATATTCGTTTACATTTCCTCAATTTTCATGTTTTCACTTGGTCTAAATGGGCCAAAAATGGCCAAATTCAATGGATCCGTTGCAACCGGATGCACGTGTGGAACTTCTGACACCATATTTGCTAGTTTTGTACCAAGACACACCTGTGGTGCAAATTTCATCAAAATCCGAGACATGTCATTTCACCCTATAGTAAATTTGTTGGTGCTTACAGAGAATGCATGTTAAAATCTTCTCAAGAACAGCAAAGCCATGATAAATACATATTTATATGGAGGCATCCTCAGGTAATGTAGATTCCAGTTTGTTCAAATCATGTCCCAGGGGTAGGGTGAGGCCACAACAGATCAAAGTTATACATAGGAATATAAAGGAAATATCTTGAAATGTCTTTAAAAATTTTGTTCTCAAGAACAGCAAAGCTATGATTACTCATATTAATACAGAAGCATCCTCAGGTAGTTTAGATTCAAGTTTGTTCAAATCATATCCCCTGGGAGTAGGGTGGGGACACAATAGAAGATCAAATATTAACATAGAAATATATAAGAAAAAAATCTTTAAAAATCTTCTAAAGACTTGATTAGTCAGAGAAATATGGAGGCATCCTCAGTTAGTGTAGGTTCAACTTTACTTCCCAATGACCTCCCCCAGCTTTAGGCAGTAGTTTGGGACCAGTTATGTGGATTGATTGTAAAGTAATATCACAACTGCTATAAAATATTTAGTAATCGAATGTTATCAACAAAATTTTATATACTTATATCTCTATTTATTTTAAGAAAAACTTTTGCCTTACAATTTCATTTAGATATATGCAGTACTTTTTCAAATATTATAATAAACACAAGGTTGGGTCTCGTCTATTGCCACACGTATGGCAAGAATGTTATCAATGTCGTTATGGTGTTTCTCTTCGGCACTCATTTTCTGTTCGTCTGCATAAAAAATCTACGCAAGAAGAATGAATTTAAAAATAACATTTAAACAAAGTTCACATAATTTTGATACAACAACTCAAAACAAGACGATTTATAGCAAAATTGCAGTTAAATTATTAAAAATAACCATGTGAGATGTTTAATCAGATATGCGGATGAACTGAAAATAAGTGTGGAAAGGGATGCACACTACTAGTGATGAAACTTGCTTTGAATGTTTCTGAACTACATTTTCCATATGAGTGAAGAGTGAATAGGTTAAATCTGAAGGCTCAAGTGAGCTTTTCTGATAAAAAATTGTCTGTTGTTTGTCACTGAAGGTGGTGGTATCATTATCATCATTGTAAACTTTTCACATTAATTTGCAGCCACGATAGGGAATGAAAGTTTTGCACAGGAATATATATGAAAAAATCTGTAAAAATCTTCTGATGAAGAACAGCAGAGCCACCTCAATATAGTGGAGAAATTATGGCCTTTGGGTGATATCCCATTTGGGGATCAAAATTTTATATATGTAAACATCCTCAGTTAGTGCAGATTGAAGTTTGTTCTAATCATGGCCCCTGGGGATAGGAAATAGCCACAAACCATGGCCTTGGGAATTAGGTTGGGCTAAAATAAGGGATCAGATATTCATTTGGAATATCAAGTGGGAAAAAATTTAAGGGTACATACATATTTAAGGCCCTTGGTTTTTAGAAAGGAGCATGCATTTTACATTGGAATATATAGGATTTTTTTTCTCCATATTTGAGAGTAGCAGGATCACACCAAATCACATTGATATGTAAACATTCCTATTACATTTCCTATATCATGATTCAACTTTGTTAGAATTATGGACACATGACTTTGGTAGGTTAAAATTTGGGATACAATTTTATATAATACATGTACATGTATATTGAGGAGAACAATAAAAAATATTTTTGTAGTACAGGCTTCTGGGCCATGAAACTAAGACGAGCTTACTTTTGATCTCAGTCTCACTTTTACCAATGCAAAAGAATTAGTGGAAAAGTGAGACAGATCAAAAGTGAGCTCGTCTAAGTTTTATGGCCCCAGGACCAGAATTTCAAGGCCATGTTTGTCACATTGATATTCAGAATCCCCACTTTTTGTGGATTCAAGTTTGATGAGGCCATAACCTATTGAGGCTAGGATGGTTTTGTTTGTTTGTTTCTTGTTTAACGTCCCTCTTGAGAATTTTTCACTCATATGGAGACACCACCACTTGCTGGTGGAGAGCTGCAAAGTTTGACGTATACTCGGCACTCGGGGCCATTGAGCAGTGATGGATCTTTTTCGTGGAGACATATTGTGGTGACAAAATTTTTCACTGGATTGTAGAGGGAAAAAAACTCTTCTGAAGAATATCAGAGTGAAGGTTACTCAGGTGGATGTTGTGATACATTTTATAAACTATGTGTGCAGATGTCAAATACGGGATCAATAAACAATCGCAACTTTTGATTACATGATAGGCCAATAAGAGCTTAATATTTAAACTTATAAAAAGCAAAGAGACAAACATGGATCTTGACTGCAATTTGTATAGTGATGATTACAGCATATTAATATACCTCTTTCCCTTTTTTTAGAGGACATAGAAAAAAATATTCTTCCATGGTATTATGTTGATAAAAATTTATTGTAAATTTACTCTATTTATGTAACAGATGCATGTGGTACGAGTTGAGCAGGTATCCTCAACTCCCCCCATTGACGAGGATCGTAGTCTCCATACACCTCCCATAAGCCTCACAACAGAGGAATATCACCAACTACCTTCTCAGGAAATCACCTTGACCTCGTCCGGGCAAGGTCAGACTTAATTCAGACTATTATATCTTTCCTCCCTTCATTTTCCCAAATATTTTCATATCATGTAAGAATTACTTTATTTTAACAGAAGCATTTGTAAACCATGCTCCAACGACACTTTGTGGACCAGTTAACGTCAACACTGAGAAAGGCCACCTGCAAGCTTCATTTGAAATTTGCAAAAACAATACACAGGGATGCTCATCCAATGACGAGTACATCCTTTCAACTGTTGGCATAGTTGAAAACTTGCAGCCACAGGTATGCAGAATTCAATTTATCAAATTATCTGTTTGTTAAGAACCATTCAGGCTTTGAAGACCATTGAAGTTTGCAGTGAAGAAGCTTGCTGCAGCAATTAAAATATAAATTAAATTTTGTTTTATAAAAATGAAATCCTGAGTTATGTCTTAGTCCAAAGGGTGGAAATGAGAAAAGAAATATATTTCTATATATACAGATATAGAATTAAAACGTTTGAATTTTTTTGCCAATTTTCTAACTCATAGATGAACTTTCAATTGTGAATATGAACAAAATGCATGTTTGACCTGCAAAATTAATTAATTTTATCCTTTTGTGTTTTCATTAAAAACATCCATATATTTCCCAAACAGTATTCAAATATCACGTAACCTCTGAAAGGGGCCTGGACACAGTTGCATTGTTTACAATTTTAAATGTCTATTCTTATTCAAAAATCACCTAGGTTTAATGATTTGAACTTACATGAATATTCTAAGAATTCAGTGACAAAGACTTTCTCCATAACATCAGGTCAAACACCTGTGTTTGTAAACAGGCCATGAGCTTTTTCATTGTGTTTATGTTTTACTGGGTGTGTTCAATTTGTTTAGTTTGCACACATCACTGAGCACGGACTGACAATACTGGTGAGTTGGTTTTGCTTTCTCACATTTCTACTCTGAACTTTCTGGATTATAGTTTTCATATTTTTCATTGATACACAACAAAATTTCTTCTTTTAAGTATTATGGATAAAATCTACTTTGTGAGATGCAAGGATATATGTCAATCAAGCTTGTCCCAAAAATTTTAGTTTTAATAATTTCCAGATAAAAAATTTACTTAACACACTTCTAATATATTTCTTTGTGAAATGCTCTAGCAACATATAAGTCATCATATTATTTAGAAAATTTTAGAAAATGTGAACTTCAAATCTGTGTCCAAGCCCCTTTACACATGTACGATTTTTAGGTCACCTGAGTTTACTCAGGTTACTTATTGCTATCTTTTTTTGTCCGTTGGTGTGCGTTGTCCATCTTGCGTTAACATTTGAACATTTTCAGCTTTTTCTCTGGAACCATGGAACCAATTTCAAATTTGGCATATAGCATCTGTGGGCGAGAGAGTAAAAATTGTGAAATTCATGACCCTTACCCTCTTGGTGCCTGAGGGGTGGGGCTAAAACCATCAAAATTAATGCAATCTTTAAAAATCTTCTTCTTTACTCCTGGACATCAAGCAGGCAAACTGTTTTCATGATTGTTATAAGCATTGAGCCCTCTACATGTACCTAAATTGTGAAATTCATAGCCCTAGGGTCAGGGGTTCTGGTGCTAGGGCAGGGCTCTGTTGAATATATAGTAAAAATGCATTATTTCTGTAAAAATCTTCTTCTCTTATCCAGGGCAAACAAACTGAATGCATAGTTATGATGAGTAAGGGTGCCTCTTCCTACTTAGTGAATTGCATGGTCCCTGGGTCAGGGGTTCTGGTGTTAGGACGGGGCTTTAATGATTACTAGTAAAAATGCAATAAATCTTTGACAATCTTCTCCTTAAGCCAATGAACTAAGAGTATAGTTATGATGAGTAAGGGTGCCTCTTCCAAAATTGTGAATTTTATGGTCCCTGGGTCAGAGTTCTGGTGTTAGGGCAGGGCTCTAATGATTCCATAGTGAAAAAGCATTAATTCTTTGATAATCTACTTCTCTGTTCCAGGGTATTCAGCAAACAAACTGAATGCATAGTTATGATGAGTAAGGGTGCCTTCTCCAAAATTGTGAATTTCTTGACCCCAGGGTCAGGAGTTCGGGTGTTAGGGCAGGGCTCTAATGATTACATAGTGAAAATGCAATAATTCTTTGATAATCCTCTGCTCTGCTTCTGGGTATTAAGTAAGCAAACTAAATGTAAAGTTTTGATAAGCAAGTGTGCCTCTTTCGAAATTGTGAATTTCATGGCCTCTGGTTTAAAACTTGAACCCAATTTAATTGTTGCAAAGTTGTTACATGATACTCAGGTGACCTATAAGGCCCGTGGGCCTCTTGTTAATTTTCATGAATGAAAACAAATCTAAGATGTTTGAAAACTTTTATTAATTTTCGTTGCAACAGACTATGGCCACTCAGGAAGAACTGAACACTACTATTGTTAATCCTGTTGTTCTGCCTAGTGTTTTGCCAAGTGTTAATCCAGGTGTTATTCCTAGTGAAGTCAGACTAGTGGGAAGTGATGGTGTGACAGTCACAGTGGTCCTTTCTTCTGACACATCCAGTGAGGTGGTGCAGAAAACAGGAAATCCAGTGGATGAGTTTGATCTCATTTCACAGGTATCTATTATTACTCATTTTCTTGTAGAGTGACTGTACATATATTTGTACATGTATCTATAATTGTCTTTACTTTAGGTTTTAAATGTTGTCTTAATATGAAAGGAAATAAGATACAGTGCATGAAATATGATGTTTTACAATGTGTAATGAAAACATGAAGTAAAACTGCTATGTAATGGAATATGATGTCCATCAGCATGATTGTGATATTGTTGGACTCCTTGACATAACCAAATGAAATAAATGTTGTGGTAAAATTTCATTTTCTCTTTGAGTAGGTTATAGGTGAAGATTTGAATGAACAAAGGCCAGTTGACGAAAAATCCAGAAAAGATTCATGTAATTCAAAAATTGCTGACACAGCAACAAATTGTGATGCAAACAAAGCACCAAAGTTCAGTTTTTCTCCTGTTTCTAATTTTGTTGAGCTTAAAAACTCTGCAGAAAGTGAGCAAGCAGTTGCAAGTGAACAAGGCACCATAACTGAAGAAAGAAAATATTCTAATACCTCTGAAAATTTGAAACACAATGCTGATGTCAATGAACTAGCCACCATTAATAGTAATGGAGAAGATAAATTAAAATCGAAAGAATGTTTAAATTCCCAAAATGATGAACAAATTATTGGATCCCATTTAGAGCAATTAACTTCAGCAACAGCAGTAAACAAATGTTTATCAGATGGCGAAAAAGAGTCAAAAAATGAAAAATCTTTTAACTTTCAAGAAATTGAAAAGAGTCATGACTGTGAAAATCAAAAAGCAGTTCAAAATGAAAGAGATCATAAACTAGAATCTGATTCTCAAATCTCTCCCAAGGAAAAAAATTCTGAAACATATGTCAAGTCTGTATCTGAAGTGAAAGTGATCAAAAAGAAACCCAGAACTGAACGAATTCCAAAGTGTAGAGTTTGTGATAAGCAGTTCAAAACAACTGAGCTGCTTCGAAAACACAATAAAGTTCCATGCATGATAAGACTGACAAGGAATCTCACACAGAAAGTGTTGAGGCCAAAGAGACTAGAAAAACCAGTGCCTCTACAAACAAAGAAAAAGAAGAAACAGAAACCAGTCCCAAATAAGCCAAAAATGATCACACTTATTAACAGAAGGTTTTCAGATACCAGTCTAGATTTCAGAAAGGACAAAAAAGGAAAGTTGAAGACAAGAAGGAAATCTTTGTATGACTTTAACTTCTGCATAACAAGAAGTAGTGACTATAGAAATGCAAGTTTAGACGTTTTAGTACAGTATGACTCTCTAGATGAGAAAGAACAGCATTTCTTTCATTTAGGTCTTGTTGCAAAAGTTCATCTACCAACAGACTACAAGACTCCAAAGTCTCTTATCAAACATGTTTTGAAAGAAAATGGGTCTCGAGTATTACAGGATGTTGTAGAAGAAGAAGATGTGCATTCTCTGATAGATGAACCCCCAGTTTTGGAGAAAGTAGTTGACGCAGCGGGCAGAATACAGGAGGATATCTACATTTTGAGGGATGAAATCAACCATGATATAGAACCACCTGTTCTGATGACTGTAGAAGAGTTAAATAGAAGTTGTCCAAGTGTTGAAGAAGGTAGTTCACTGGCAGTCTTGGAATGCCCATCTTTAAGTAACTCTGATGATATTCACTTTAATAGCACCAAGGGGCCTATGAAGGATAATGTCAATAACACTAATGAACTTAATAAGGAGAATAATTTTGAGCGTGAAAATGTTTTAGTAAAATCACAACTGACGGAACAAAATTCAAAACCTTGCACCCCAAGCAAAGTTGAAAATTCATCTGAGAAATTTCCTATGACAGAAGTTGTGTCACCCCTAAAATCTCCAAACAAAACTCTTGGTGAAAGACATTTCTTAGATGCAATAGATGTATCAAGTGACACGTTTTCAGATGAATCAGAATTCACTAAAACCAAGCTAAGAGATGATGCCACAAAACCATCATATAGTGTGACAGTGGGATTGCAGACAGACATACCAACAGCAACAGATAAAATCATGTATCCAAGATCCTCTTTCATCCTGAAGTGCCTTAAGAGGTTAGAAAATAAGCACAAAAATGTTCCAAACCCTAAACCCTTGACTCAAAAACAGAATTCAGGAAGGAAAAATTTATTTGAAAGTCTGGAAAATGTTTCTAGAGATTCAAAAACTGTTTGCAAGTCTAATAACATTACTTATCACAAAGAAAACCAGAGGAAAAATTTAACACAATCTTGCAGTGAAAAAAGAGATGCTTCTGACAATGCTGTAGAAGAAGTCATAGTGTATCCAAAACCAGTTGACCCCAAAAAATTAGAACATAACAAGCCAACTTTTACAATTCCTTCAAATGAAGAGATTTTAACATATGCAGATGACAATGTTGTAATTAGAAAACCACCCGAGCTAGATTCAGTTAGTCCAGAGAATGGGAGGGATCTTCTTCAGATCATTGCAAAGACTCTAGGGATCTTTCCATCAACAAAACCCAAACATGAAGAGAGTCATTTGAATGAAACGCCAAAGAGATACAAGGAAAAGTGCCAAGAAGATGTAGTAAACCAGAAAGATGGAATGCAGATAATTGTCATGAATAATACAGCTGAGTCTAATGAATATACCATGGGTATTGATGTCATAAATGTTCCCAAAAGCATCAATGATGAGCTGAAGGAAGCTGCATCAGAGTTAGAAAGTAAAGTTGTCTTTGAAGATGATGGATCTCAAAGGCTTCATTTCTGTGATGATAGTGCAGCTTTGGTTGGAGGACACTCTGTACAGCAGGGAGTAGGAACAAGCCATAACGTACCAGGGGATATATCAATACCTGAAGAAGTTTATGAATTTCTTGAAGATTACAACACTATTCAACCCAGTGCTTCTAAAACTGATCAAATACCTACATTTGTAACCCAGGATAATACAGTCAATAACAGCATTCATCTGATACCTGGTCCTCAAGTTAAAGCCAGTGAAGTTGTGGATATACATTTCAGTTTTTGTTCTAGTGAGTCATTAGTTCCTCAACCAAATTCTCATGTTTTTTCTTTATCAAAGTCCAATGATGAGACTTCCATTATTCCAGCAAATCATATACAAAGTAACAAAGAGCAAGAAGCAACAAGTGCAGAAATTTCCTCCATAAAAACAGGGGAATTGAGGAGTCAGCAATTAGAAAAACCATATTTGCAAAGTCATGGGGATTTACCAATGTATGCAATTCCAGTTGGGGTTATTTCAGATGATAACCAGAACAAGAAACAAATTAACATTCCCCAAAATGAGCATGCTGCTTCAACTTTCCTTTCTCCTAATCAGCATATTAATACTTGCAAAATGTCAAGCTCCACAACAGTATACGAAGAAGGAAGAATTCAGGTTCTTCAGACATCTAACCAAGAATATGTGATAGAAGAATCTCAGATAAAACCAGCATTTTCTGACTCTGATGTGTTTGTCATTGGAAAAGTTCCTGTTAATGATAAAGAGATTACGAGTTTACCCTCAAGTATTCCAGACACCAATCCAGATCCAGATCAGCTCTGGAACAGGATCTTGGAGGATTACAAGACAGAGTGTCTTCAGAACCAGAGAACAGAACAAAACAATTACCTTGGTTCTGGATCAATTTTCAATACCCCGAAACAGCATCATAGACCAAGGACTTTAAGTAACATAGAAATCAATACAAACCCATTCATTTCAAAACCAGAACTAACCAGAAGTTACAGCCATAGTGCTAATTCATCATTTTGTGATAGATCAAACCAGAAACTTCGTAACTGTGATAATCGTGATGAACTCCCTTCCATGACTTGCTCCTTCTCACCCACTAACAACAGTCATTCATTAAAACTGATATTCAGAAAGGAAAAATCACCACAAGAACAGAAAACTCCCACAAGTATAAATTATAGTGAACAAGTAAGTAGGGTTCCAGATCGAAATTTTCAGGAAAATGTTAGTGAATCTAATATGTCTTCAGCTTTGTCTGATCCATCCTCTACTAATGTGGAAGGCTCTGAGGAGGAGGGAGATTCCTTACCCTACATGATAGTGGACACAGGGGTAGAAATTTGTAGGAAGGCACTTGGTGCTGAGGAAGATGAAGACATGTCAGAAGATGAATGGGCTTTAGAAAAAGAAACAGATTCACAGGATGCAGTGACTTAAGAATTTTCAGTAATATTAATAATATCTTAACTGGGTAATTATGGCAAGTCTTTCTTATAAATGTAATGTAGTTTTTTGTGTAATATTATGTAAAGTCCCTTTTAATACATTTTAGAACTTTTATTTCCTTTGCATATGAAAATTTAAATTTTCAAATGTTTAAGTATCGTTTATATATATTTTCTGTCTGTGATAATTCATAACATTTGTGTATATTTTAATGAAGAAAAATATCTGTCACATGGAAGCACTGTGGGAGAACAGTGTTGAAAGACTTACAGAGTTCACTGTTGATTTTTTTCTTTTTTCTTTTAGAAACCATCACCAGTCTCTGTTTTTGACTACAATTTTAAGCTATATAAGTCTAAAATATTGTACATAGAAACTACTGTTGGAAGCAAACAAATGAAAAATACATGTAAAATTAAGAGCAGAGATTTGGACAAAACATACATTTTGATATTAGTATGAAATCAGTGGTTTCGAACTATGTATTTGTTTTGAAGGTATATTTTCTTTAATGCCAGATTTCAATAACATAGAAAGTTAATATTGTTCTCAGATGTTTCAAATATCAACTAGAGCACATCTTTGCCAATGACACAATGACAAAAATATCAGGAAAAATCAGCCCAAGTTTAATGAAAACTGGTGAAGAACTTTAATGCTAAAACATATTTTGTAAGCCTTTAAACATAAACCAATAAATGGGTATGATTTCTGTGCATTATTTTGTACCATTTTCTCCAGATTTTTAAATTACTTTATAGGCAGTGAACTACCTTTCTCCCAAATAGGTATTCTTTAGATACTGTTCTTGTACATCTTAGATTTAATTATTGCCTAGTAAAGATATTTTTACAGTTTTTATTTTGGCATCAGATCTTTTCAGAATAAACCCTTAAAATATATCTTAATGTAGGTCTTTTTTTTTTGGAATTCATTGTGCTTGAAAACATGTTTCCTAATCTTTTGACACATAATGATCATTTTTTGGGATTGCGAATTTCTTCACAAATATATAAATCACTTTAAACAGTACTGGTAGTGTTAAATTGTAAATTAATGAAAATTACAGACTCAAAAATGTACATACATGTATGTGGTAGATATAGGAATGCACAAATAATCCATCAAAGTGAAACTCTTCGACATGAATGCCTGATTATAAAGAGCATGCAATATAAAATGTAACAAAACAAAATGTGTTTTCTTTAAGAAAAAAGTTCTTTAGATAAAGGTGCATGAAATATCTTTCATTTCAAAGTTGGAGGGCTTAGTGAAAAGAAGGAAAAAATTTCTATATAAATGATTTAATATTGTACAGTATGTCAAAAAAATTGTCTGTTTCTAATTTTGTAAATAAGAATGATGAGAAATATTTTGCATATGAATTCTTCATTAAACACAATCATGTTATCTGGAACCAAACTTTTTTTCAGTTTACTGGTGTGTATTTTGGGCATTTACTATAAAACTTTGTTTATTTGAACACTCTTGTGTATTTGAACACTTTATTTGTATACTCTTGAACTTTTATTATGATGTTCAAAAATCAAAATAATGCAAGTTAATTAACAACTAATGTGAATGTCAGCTGCCTTGTTCACATGTAATTGGGAACCACTCTGTGTAGGAAGCTGTTTTTTGAATACTAGTTGAAGTTTTTGTTACTTTTTCTCGTTACCATTATAATTGTGTAAAATTTCTTCTTCTTTTTTTTTGCATTTTGCATTGAAAATTGTTATTTTATTTCTGTAATCATACTTTTAATATATAAATACTGAAATTTCACTTTTTCTCTTACAATTTAGGATGTATATGTAGACATTTATAGAATATTTTTGAAACATAAGAATTAAACTTAAACCTGAGGCATAACTTTTAAATAAAGGGCTTTCATATTTCACATGTACATTACCTGTGGCACGACCTCTCTAATTTGTTAATGAATTTGACCTACCTTTCAAAAAATGAAAAGCTATATATGCCGTATCTGAGCTAAAAATTAAAAATACGAGATTGAGTGTAGATAAACATGATATATGTTATTTACGTTCAAATTAAAATTTTTTACCGATTTTGAACTTAAATAATCCCATGTTTCCATAGTTAAATTGAATTTAACTGTGTCTGTTAATTAAATGTGGAGTCGGTAAATAAATCGATAATTGTTTTAAATTTCTAATTTCTTTGAAACGTGATTGATTTAAATTGTGTAATTTACAGGAAAGTCCTATCTTTATATAAAGTAATAAAATAAATAGATATATCTTTTTAATTTTAGTTAGTCTGAACTTATCAAATATACGACATATATGACTCATTGGTGATAACTTTTGAATGAGAAAAGCTGGGGCATTAATTTTTAGCTCACCTGAGCTGAAGGCTCAAGTGAGCTTTTCTGATCGAAATTTGTCCGTTGTCTGTCATTGTCGTCGGTATTGTCGTCGTTGTAAACTTTTCACAATTTCATTTTCTTCTCCAGAACTACTGGGCCAATTTCAACCAAACTTGGCACAGAGTATCCTTGGGTGAAGGGGAGTCATTTTTTTTTCAAATGAAGGGCCACACCGTCCTCCAATGGGAGATGATAACGAAATAGGGAAAATTAATGGCATCATTGAAAAATCTTCTCAAGAACCAATGGACCAGGAAAGATGAAACATATATGAAATCATTGTCAGGTAGTGTAAATTAAAGTTTGTTCAAATCATGACACCCGAGGGTAGGGTGGGGCCACAATGGAGATCAAAGTTTTACATAGGAAAAAAATATAGGAAAAATCTTTTAAAAATCTTCTTCTCAAGAACAGCAAAGCCATGTTTGGTCATATTTATATGGAAGCATCTGCAGGTGGTGTAGATTCAAGTTTGTTCAAATCATGACCCTGGGGGTAGGGCGGGGCCACAATGGACGATCGAAGTTTGACATGGGAGGATATAAGAAAAATCTTTAAAACATTCTTCTCAAGAACAGCAAAGCCATGATTGTTCATATTTATATGGAAGCATTCTCAGGTGGTGTAGATTCAAGTTTGTTCAAATTAAGACCCCCAGGGGGAAGGGTAGGGCCACAATGGATGATCAAAGTTTGAAATAGGAGTATATAGGAAAAATCTTCTTAAGAATAGCAAAGCTACGATTGGTCATATTTATACGGAAGCATGTGCAGGTAGTGTAGATTCAAGTTTGTTCAAACCATGAAACCCGGGGATAGGGTGGGGCCACAATGGACGATCAAAATTTTATGTAGGAATATATAGGAAAAATCTTCTTCTCTAGAACAGCAAAGCCATGGTTGGTCATATTTATATGGAAGCATCTTCAGGTAGTGTAGATTCAATTTTGTTCAAATCATGACCCACAGGGTAGGGATGGGGCCACAATGAAAGTTCAAACTTGTAGGAAAAAAGTCACAGTTAGTCAAAAAATATGTAAGAATCCTTAGTTAGTGTAGATTATATTTTGTTCAAATCATACTCCCCCTCTCCCTTATAGGGGTAGGTCGGGAACACATATGCATTTAAGCTTTTCAATTCTAAACTGATTTTTGCTTTTTTCCTAGCAACAGTGCTCAGGTGAGCTATGTGGCCCCTGGGCCTCTTGTTAGCTGTACTGATCAGAGACCAGGCCTGGAGGTTATAAAACTTTTTGAGTACATACTCTGTGCTCAAACTCATACTCCGTTCTCTAAAACCTTTCTCATTCTCAAAATTTATATACAAATTAAAGAGGGATTTTTAGCATGAGTATGGTTTTGGAGTATTGAGTTTGAGTTTGAGCACTGAGTACATACTCAGAAAGTTTTATAACCTCCAGGCCAGAAGAGCTTGATAAATGCATTGGTAAGGTGTCCGTTGTCCGTCCGTCTAACTATGTCTAGCCACCCGTCTAAACGCTACTCTTCCTACTGTTTTTGTCCAATTTCAATAAGACTTGATATACAAAAAGACCACTAAGATACACAAATCTGTTTATTGAATTTTGATTTCAACAAACAGTGTCATGGTAACTAAAAGTAGAAATTTCTTTGAAATTTTTCAAAAATGCTTCTCCTGAAGTTTTAGTCCAATTTCATTAAGACTTGTTACACGAGTAGACTTCATTTCGTCATGTAATTGTGTTTATCAGTTTTTAATTTGACAAACGGTGATGCCATGGTTGCTAAACATAGACATTTCTTTGAAATTCTTTCAAAACGCTTTTCCTCGTACAGATTAGACCCAGTTTCAGTAAGACTTGGTACAAGAGAAGAGTACATTAAGATACATAATTCTGTGTACTGGTTTTTTAGCTCACCTGAGCTGAAAGCTCAAGTGAGCTTTTCTAATCATATTTTGTCTGTAGTCCGTCTGTAAACTTTTCACATTTTCGACTTCTTCTCCTGGACCACTGGGCCAATTTCAACCAAACTTGCCACAAAGTATTCTTGGGTTAAGGGGATTCAAGTTTGTTCACAGAAAGTGCTTGCCACAAAGCAACTTTTGGTGAAGGGGGTTCAAGTTTGTTCAAATGAAGGGCCACGCTCTCTTCCAAGGGGAGATAATTAAGAATTGGTGAAAATTTGGTGTCATCTTTTAAAAATCTTCTCAAGAACCATTAGGCCAAAAAGTTGAAACTTATGAGAAATCTTCATTACATAGCGTAGATTCAAATTTGTTCAAATCATGACCCCCGGGTGTAGGGTGGGGCCACAATGGGGGATCAAAATTTTACATAAGAATATATAGGAAAAATCTTTAAAAATCTTCTCAAAAACAACAAAGCCATAATTAGTTTTATTGATACGGAATCATCATCAGGTAGTGTAGATTCAAGTTTGTCCAAATCATGACTCCTGGGTGTAGGGTGGGGCCACAATTGGGAATCAGAGTTTTACATAGAAATATATTGGAAAAATCTTTAAAAATCTGATGAAAAACAAAGCCACAATTAGTCATACTGCTATGGAATAATCCTCAGGTAGTGTAAATTAAAGTTTGTTCAAATCATGACCCTCGGGATTAGGGTGGGGCTACAGTGGGGGATCAAGGTTTTACATAGGAATATATAGGAAAAATATCTTTAAAGATCTTCCTCTCAAGAACAACAAAGCCACAATTAGTTA